CCCCAAAACCCCAAAACCCCAAAACCCCAAAACCCCATATATTTGTCAAATTATTGAGATAAATTATACTTTTTCGTTGAATGGCAGCAAGGAAATGCAACCTTCTTTCTCTCCTTCCCCTCCAAATGCAAGAACATTTACCTTTGGGTGCCAAGCAACTGTAAACTTCTTGGCAGCGAAAGCTAGTCAGCACTCTCTTTCTCCTGTGTTTGTATTGTAGATATCAATGTTTGATTCCTTCCTGACCTCATCTCTGCAAGACGCGGCAATGTATTTATCATCTTGGCTGAAGGATACTTGGTCAATTATTGAATCCTTCTTGGTTACAGACCTGAGTCAAGCAAGCTCATCAATATCCCATACACAAAGATGCGAATCAGCAGATCCTGTTGCTAGGAGCTCATTGTTATGGGAAATCCTAATGCAAAATACTGTTCCAAAATGAGCATTTATCTCCTCCATTGCATCTAATTCTGGATTTTTTCCGTCCAGAACATACACAGTTCCAGTAGTGTTTGGTATAAACAGCATGTTCCCAGTTCTGTCCCATTCTATTTGATTAAGCTCGCACTTTTTCTCCTGGAAGTCTAAATTTTGGATGATTTTCCAAGTTCTTAAGTCATAGATATCTACTTGCTCCTTATCATTTCCAACAGCGATAATTTCTCCAGAAGGGTTCCAGTTCAGGACGTAGTTTGGATTTTTGGTCTTTTCATTATGAATCGACTTTAAGGCGCCCCCTCCCTTGACAGAATCACTTCTCAGGTCCCATAGCTTCAGAGTACAGTCATGTCCAACGGAGGCAAGGATGTTATCATCCTCTGGCTTCCATGAGATTTGACCTACTCTCTTGCTATGACCCTTGAGGTCGTATCCTCTGGAGATGTCAATATCTTCATAATTCCAGACTTTGATGTCATTGTCAGTGGAATAGAATGCCAGGTGGTTTCCACCTGCATTCCATTCCAGAGATATTATCTTCTTAGTCCTGAGGTTGAAGTCAATTGGCTTATGTTTGCTGCTATCTCTTGGTTCCATTTTCTAAAATTTCAATATTATTATATCCCTTGGGGTTTTGGGGTTTTGGGGTTTTGGGGTTTTGGGG